CCCTATCCCACCCCTCTAGGTGGTCACAAAGCACCGAGCTGATCTCCCTGTGCTATGCGGCTACTTCCCACTAGCTATCTATTTTACGTTTGGTAGTGTATATATGTCCATGCCACTCTCTCGCTTTGTCACAGCTTACCCTTCCCCCTCCACATATCCTTAGGTCCATGCTCTAGTAGGTCTGTGTCTTTATTCCCGTCTTACCCCTAGGTTCTTCATGTAGGTCGTTGTATTTTAAATGAGTTTTTTCTGCTTTCTAGTTTTTCTTTGTAAACATTTATAGTACAGAAAAATATAATAAATGAAAATGCAGACACCCAGTATCCAAGAGGTGAGAACCATGCCTGCTCTAATCTGGACACTGCACTGGCCAGTGCAGATCTGGCTGTGAATAAGCTGCAGGGTGTTTGTCTTCATGGAGTTTGCAGTTCTGTTGGGCAGGCAGGCCAGAAACAGTGAATTTCTGAGGGTTTTTTTAATCGCACCATTGTTGATTTACAGTGTTTGTTAGTTTCGGATGTACAGCAAAGTGATTCAGTTCTACATACATATATAGGTTATTACAAGGTATTGAATCTAGCCCCCTGGGCTGTACAGTCACTGAGTTATGAAAGGGGAGGGGAGGGTGCTGTGGAAGCCTAGGGCAAGGATATTTAACCTAGGAGGTGTTGAGGGAAGGTCCCCCAGATACAGTGACATTGGAGCGATGCTGGAAGGCTGAGGAGACGAGACACCATGTGAGCGAGGCAGGCTTGAGAGAATTTCACACAGAGGACACAGCCTCTGCGGAGAGAGGCACAAAGTCAAGAGCTTGGCCTGTTCCAGAGACCTCAATAAGCTCAGGGTGGTGGGAGCAAAGGGCAGTCAGTGTGAGGGCAGGGGGTAGGATGATAGTCGGGGGGACATGTAAAGCCCAGTAAGAAATTGGGGCTTCATCCTCAGGGCAAGTGGAGTCTGACATGAGCAGATTTAATTTTTTTTTAAAAAATCACTCAGTCAGACCACCCTGGAGGTTAGATGCAAGAGGTGGTGAGAATGGACGCTGGGAAGTCAGCAGGGAGGGAGGGAAGGGGCTTGCAATAATACAGGAAAGAGACGGTGGCTCAGAAGTGCAGCAAGGAGTCTTCCTTTTGTATGAAGATTAACCCTGGATTGCTGGTTTGGAGATTTAAAGTATAGTAAGAACTCAACCCTATAAAGAGTTTTTAATTTAAAATCCTCTAATTACATAGCAAAATTTTTCATTTTTATTTTTAAACAAAGATTTTAGAAATCTTCAGGACAAATAAATCCTCGGTGAGCCCCGGGTGAACGTTATACCATGAAAATGTCATGTACTCATAAAATTGTGCAGAATCCAAAATGCTAACAGTTTTCCTGTAAAAGGAAAAGAAACAGGAAGGCGGAAAAGAAAAAATAACATTTGGTTTGGTGACAGATCTCCTTCTGTCACTGTGAGTTCCTTGATAGGCACAGGGCCTGGCATACAGCAGGGCCCCTGGGAGTCCTGAATGAATGAATGAATGAATGCAAACTGCTGGATTAAAGATGTTTGAGGATTGTTTTTTGGCCTTTCTTGGTTTCATTTTTTTTTTGTTTGCTGGCAGTGCCCACCTCTCCTGCCCCTTCTACATGCTTATAGTTGCCCTGGCTGAAGCAGGGAGAAAGCTATTGGAAAAGGCTGCCTTTTAAAGTACTGATCATTTCAAAATATTGTTTCTTTGCATATTTTGAAATTAGGCCAGTTGGAATCTTGCCTCCTTTTCCTGAAAAAAACTGGCAACCCAGAAAACTTTTATTCACATATTTGTCATAAATGCTATTTGATTAAAATGTCGACTTTGTGGTGAAACATAACTTCATAAATATGCACTTACGATACTTATATGTGTTTCCAAAAGCCAAAATCGGAAAAGGCCACATTCCCAGAAAGGGGAAGGAAGCCACAATTTGGTGAACTATTTATTGTGTTTCGGATACTATGCTGGCCCCCTTTTACAAACAAGGACACTGAGGACATTTATGTTCAGTAATTTGCCCGGAGTCTCATGGTTCACGGCGAACCCGAAACTTGCGCTCAGGTCTGTGTTACAAATTTTTAAAAATCTGTATAGGTCGGTAGGAGTGAGGATAGTACATAGATAAAGCCCTAATTGGGAAGGTACTTTGTTCAAAAGTCCTTTGCCGGCTGATACCATGAACCCAGAGAGGAAGAAAGATTCTAACTTGACTTCCTCCTCTTCGCCTTAGGCTATTCATTTTTAAAGCTTTTTTTCACGAGCAGAACAGGAATTTGCCTTCTCTGAGGGTTTAGTGCTGACAGTGACGAAGGGGTCTTTTCCACCCTCATGCTGAGTTGTTTTCCAAGTCAACTGATTTCATGGATTTCATTCAGTGGATTGTTTCTCTTGCTTTAAGAGAGCTTTCCTCCCGAGGGTTCTTGCTCCTTTTCAACGCGGCCGACCCCCAACATGATGTGACGGGGGCGGGGCGGTGTTAAGCTTTTTCACAGCACTGTCTGTTGGCCCTGCTGCTCTGAGGCTCTTTCTCTCGCATTTGTCACAGTTGATGATGATGTTTCCATCTGCCAGGCGTATGGAACCGGTGGTGCTCAGCACATCTTTGTTCCAGGCTGGTCCCAGGGAATATTTTGGAACTGTCTTGTAAATTCTCCCTGTCCTCTCCTGCGCCCTCATTACTCTCTCTCTCTCCTGTAGCAGCTATGGAAATCTGCCTTGGAGTCTCATTAATGAAGTCTGTCTTCCCTCCTCAACTAAACTCTGCGCCTCTGGAGGCCAGGACGGGGTCTTATTTATCTCCATGGGCCCCTTCCCTGGTCCCCACAGGGGAAGCACGGAACCCATCACTGCATTGGTCTGAGTCATTTTGTTGGCTAGACTCCTGCGCTGTCGTTGCTGGTAATTCTACACGTGCGACTGAAGAAGTTCTGAAAATAGATTAATTGAAGAGGTTGCATTTTGTACTACCATTGACATGAGAACCCCAAACAGAATATCCTTACAGAGTTTTCTCGGGGTGGATTTTTATTTCTCTTGGATGATATTTTGAAGACAGTTTGGATTCCCACATTATCCTAACCACGTTTTATGTAAACAAAAATCAGCCATAGTTAACACTTTAAAAGGGTTTTTAGGGATTTGTCATCTAGGTTTTTCTCAGATAATCCCCAGCTGTGATGAATAGGCTGTGGTCAGCTTCAGAAACAGTAGTAACACGAAACAGTACCAATATTATTGTCTTACATCTAAACTGGAGTTAGGAATCGAATAGCTGTCGTTTGGTCAAAGCTAGGACAGCCCATAGCCCTCCAGCTTGATAGGCTCATGGTGGAAATGTTGTGACTCTGCTAGTCTTCAGGTTACTTACAGAGTCACTTCACCTCCAGAAACATAACTTCATAAATATGCGTGTATGACACTTCTTATACATGTTTCCAAAAGCCAAAATCAGAAAAGGCCACATTCCCAGAAAGGGGAAGGAAACCACAATTTGGGTAGTTTACAGAAGGTACATCCTTGAATTCAACTCCAAAAATGTTTATTGGACACCTGTTCTACACCCCGGGCTTCACGATGCTTTTGATTTTCTGCTGACGGTAGCTCACGTTTTTTACTGAATTTGGTAAGGAAGGTCCGGTGTTGACACTTCCAGTGAAAATGAATGTGGAAGTAAACGGCAGGTACACCTCTGAGAGAGTCAGCGTGAAGAAAGGACCTCTTAGGCACTGGGGTTATTTGGTCCTGGCTCTAAAAGCACACCCACGGGAAAATGACGGCGGGAAGTTCTGTTCTCGGGGGAGAACCGCATTCAGTTGCGGTTTGTGATTCCACTGTCTGTTTGGGTCTGTTTCAGGTAAGCCGTAACTTTGAGCTGGTTGGACGAGTTAACTTGGATCAGCTGGAACAGATGAAGGAGAAGATGGAGAGCTCCAGCAGTGACGAGGAGGACAAGGAAGAAGAAATGAACAGCAAGGCTGACGGCAGAGGTAGGTCCCTCCCCTGCCCCCTGAGCCCCAGCTGGCACCCAGCCCGGCTGTGCTGAGATACAAGGGGAGGCAGAAGGTTGTTGTAGGGGCAACAGAAGGAATGGACTGACTTAAGAAACACACCAGGGGCTGTGTCCTGTAAACTAGTACCAGCTCTAGAAACTCCCAGGAAATACATTCGGTAAAAAATACGTGGCGATGATTGGCTTTTTATTCAGGAAAACTGGTGTCTTGGGAATCTGCAGAATAAGGACAGACAGCAAGATGGATGGTCCTGTAAAAGCTACTGAGGAATGTAAACGAGCTTCCGATTGAACGCTTATTTCAAATTGCTTCTGCTGGGCTGGGGGGAGCTGCAGGGGGCTTGAGCTCTCTCCATGTGTCCTGCACGTTCCTCCTCTCACCCCCCTTGCTACTGCTTTTGCTTTGTAAAGAGAGAGAGAGAGACCAGGGGCTTTTATTTGGCTGTGTTTACAGGGAAAGGTTTTGTGGTATTTTTGTATGAGTTTCTGTGAGTCTATCATTATTTTCAAAGTGAAGTTTTTCAAAGTATATTTAGTTGTAGACATACGTTTACATGATCTAGAGTTGGTATTCTATATTGCTCAACATAGAATCTTGTGGAAAACCCAAGACTCTACGTAAAGGAGATAGGTTGGGATATCTTACTTTAGTTATTGCAGATTTATCAAAAGCACATGGATAACCTAGACCTGAGAAATAAATGTGATAGACATCATCCCAGTGATGAGAAGAATGGTATTAGTTGCCATTACTGAGCATCCTGATGTGCCAGGCCCGGTGCTCGTGGGTTTTATACCTTTTATCCTTAACGTTATATAATGTTAGAGGCTCTGTAGTTGGTCTGCCTGGATTTGGCTCCCAGTCGCGCTACTTGTTGGTTATATGACTTTGGGTAAATTATTTTATCTCTTTATGCATTCATCATCCTAGGGTTGCATAAATCTTAAATGAGAGAGCACGCAAACGTTAGTCTAGTTCCTAGAACATAGTAACCAGCTAATAATAATGATAAAACCCTGCAATGTAGATGGTATTATTGCCATTTTTACAAATGGGGAAACAAAGGCCCAGGATACTTAAGAGCTTGTTCAAAGTTTTAAAAAAAAACCACTGGAGGTTGAGTCTAAGTCTTCTGGCTCCAAAGGCAAAACGTCTTTTACACTATACACCATCTCCCCTACCCTTTGGACAGCGGGGTGATCCTCATTGAAGGGTACCTGCCCCTGAATTCTGTCTGTCCAGTGGCCCTTAGGGCCTCACTCTAAGGGGCACTTTTGCGGAATTTCTTGGCTTTTCTTGCTTGGTCAGTCTGCAAGCCTAAGAAAGCCGACTTGGTGGCCGTTCCCCCTGCGGTTCGCCCTGTTCTTCTTCCTGACTTGCCCTGACTTCCAGCCCCATCCCCTTGCCCACCATCTTTTACCTCTGCCGTAGTAGGAGACCACAGGTTTGCTGAGTGGGGATCCAGTTTGGCTCCTGAACCCCCATGCCCGCGGTAAATGGATAAATAGAACACCCACACCATATAGACTGATTGCCCTTGTCATGTTACAGCTTTTATTAGGAGGGGCTGCAGTAATCTGTTTCTTACAAGGAAAATGGCTGTGATCTGAGAAGCATGGTTTTTAAATTTTCTTTTCCTTTATTTACGTTTTTTTAGCATTTCACAAATATGTTCTTAGTGATGAATTCTTTAACGTCTGTGTACTGTTTCCCGAGTTCTCTGGAAGAGGATGCTTGTGACAGAGGGTACACAGGCTCCTTTTCTTCATGGTGCTCTGTGCCCTACCGTTCCTCTCCAGGAAATGAATTAGTCCTCATTGGGTACCATGACGTTTTAATCTCTAGAGCCGAGCACACATGATTTTACAGGTTATAAGTATTGCAGAGGCAAGAACCTCCTTTAGTCCTCCCCTCCCCTGTGACGCCTCTAAACTAAATGGCAGTTAGCTGTGAGAGCACCAGGCACGTTCCCTTGCCCAGCCTGGCCGCCCCCTCGCACGGGCACTGTGGCATCAGACCAGCTCTGTTTGCCTGGAAAGAACTTCATGGTGTCTGATCGCCTGTCCCTGGAAAGTTTAGCATCCACACTCATGAGCCTTAACAGCATGGGGGAAAAAATCTTGGGGTGGAGAAGCCTGTTTTCCTCTCTCAGCGGGTGGGGGAATTACATGAGTCACTTCTAGTAACGTTAATGGGAATTACTAGCCAAAACCTTCCCATACCCCTCGCCCGATCCTTGAAAGAACAGCCTCCTTTGTTTCATTGCCTTTGAATCAATTTTCCACCATCAGGTATATCCTTGCCAACCAGAAGAACCAGCACACAATAGCCTCGGGGCGTTTTTGCCAGACGTCCTGTCTTCCAGGAGTAGAGAGCGGGAGGTGGCTTTAGCACAGCTCTCGGGGCTAATGGAGAGCCATTTGATGTGTGACAGGTAATGACTGGCCTCCTCCTTTGAGGATGAAACAGCATGAGCCCTTGGAAAGAATAGGTGGCTGGTTTCATGTTTCCTAAGGGTAAGCGAGTGCGTGTGCCAGGGGCAGGCCCCGCGTTGGCAGTGTAGGTGCTCATCGGGCGCTCAGTTCGGGGGGCTCACGTCCTTGGAGCTACCCTGTTCCCAGCGTCCTTTCCCAGCACAAGAACCAGGGAGGGGACTGACTGTGGCCACATTGCAGGTCCTGCCTCAGAAGGCAGCTCAGAGGGAATCTGAAAGAGAAGAAACCAGGCGTGAAGAAATCAACATGAACCCAAGCAGGACCCTCCCCACCCCCTCTCATTATGCAGCTGGGAGGAGCTAGGAAGGCATTCTGCTGATTTCTTGCCCAAGATAATCCCTGCTAAGGAATTAATGCGCAGGGCAGATGGTGCTGTCTCATTTCCAATGAAAAGAATCAAGGAAGGTAGTCTGTGCAATTATTTTTAATGGCTTGTGTGGTGATCTTCTTAATTTGTGAGAAAATGTTTCATCTTTTGTTAAAACTGGCCCCATTCACAGAGCTTTTTGTGCCGAAGGTGAAGGCAGCGTAGAGACACCTGGCCTGTTAACGTCATCCTGAGGATTTTTATCAGACGGAGTGTTTCAACCAGGAGACATCCTCCTGTAACATCTTGTAGGTACAGACACACAGCGATCAGATACGCAGAGATGATCAACATTTCCCCGTGTGCTGCCCTCACTCTGCCGCGTGGCTGCAGAGCCGTCTAGGTCCTGCTGTTTATTATGCACGTAAAGATCTGGCCCTCTGTGGTATAATCAAAGACATGTGGGCTTGGGACTCAGGATAACACAAAGGCCATATAAGCTCTCATCTTTGAGTTTGCCAGGAGGCGTGGCCTCTAAACAATTAGCCAGCCAGTCCACGTTTATCAGACCACTCACATGTGCCCAGGGCCGTGGAGGAAATAAAACGACAGTCAACATTTGATGTTAACAACAGAGCTATCCAGAAATGTGTGCATATCCCCATGTTCAAGAATACACCAATTGGACTTCTCTGGTGGCTCAGCGGTTAAGAATCCGCCTGCCAACGCAGGGGACACGGGTTCGAGCCCTGGTCTGGGAAGATCCCACATGCCGCAGAGCAACTAAGCCCGTGCACCACAACTACTGAGACTGTCCTCTAGAGCCCGCGAGCCACAACTACTGAAGCCCGTGCGCCACAACTACTGAAGCCCATATGCCTAGAGCCCGTGCTCCGCAACAAGAGAAGCGACCGCAATGAGAAGCCCGCACACTGCAGCAAAGAGTAGCCCCTGCTCGCCACAACTAGAGAAAGCCTGCATGCGGCAACCAAGACCCAACACAGCCCATCCCCGCCCCCCCAAAAAAATATATATATATATACATACCGATTGAGGCATAGATGCTGGGCAGCTGGCCAGGAGCCCTTACTAGCTGAGGACACGCTTTCACATTCCAGACTTCCTGATGCCCGGGACTCACTCCTGCTAGGTTCTTTGCTTACAGATCTCATTCAGTGTTCGCAGTCACCCTGGGAGGTGCTGATTCTGATATCCATGGCAGATGACCACCAGTCGTGAGTCCTCAGCCTTCCTTGGAATGTGTCGAAGCCTTGAGGTCTTACCACGCTTTTCCTGATCTGGTGCTTTTTTAGTGAGCGGAGATAAACTTGTGTCAAATAGAAAATGAATACATGCTAAACTTGAGGCACTGATACAGAGCATCACAGAAGGGAGAGATTTGATAGGAAAAAAAAATGCTCAGATGCCATTGGAATGAACAGAAGGGGTTCTTCAGGCAAGACAGACCCAGGTTATTTGTGATGGAAGCAACTGGGAGGTGAGGAGAAGTGAGGACACCTGGGGCTCGGGAACCACAGGAACAGTTCTTGAGAGAGTTTCAAGAGGTATCCTTTGGTGAAAAGCCAGTAGGAGAAAGAGTAAGGAGTCTGGAAATTGGTTTCACTGAATGGCTTTGGGACGGAAGGTAGGAGAGGAAGTTTCCTAATGGATGTTGACTTCTCTTCTGCCCGCTCCCCGGCACACAGGTAACACTTCTGCTTTCTCCTCACAGATCTGATGAGATTTTCTGACCGTGGGGCTGCTATCAACACTGAGAAGCGTTTTCCATGTGAATTTTGCGGACGGGCGTTTTCCCAGGGCTCTGAGTGGGAAAGGCACGTGCTGAGACACGGCATGTAAGTCCCATGAAGGCCTTCGCCCATCGTGCGAGGTGGCGGTTTCTCCTGACAATACATAGACCCCTCTGTGTCACACTTCCGGGCATGGGAGGAGAGGCAGTTGTAACGAACTGGGTTTCTACCTTTCTGCTGGTTTTTAAATGGTCACCCAGACACAAGTCAAAGGAGGAAAGATCATCTTTACGAATGACAGATCCCGCTCAAGCCCTCGTGTAGAAGTGTAGCGCTCTCTCCAGCCCGTGTCCCTTCAGCTTTCATTAGCATGACGTTCTCTGATAGAGCGTGGACCGGGGTCCAAAGATCTGGCTTCTGTTCCTGCCTCTGTGATGACTCATTCCCTGAGTGGCCTTGAACCTTCCCACGCACCTCTTGGTGCCTTCAATGCTCTGCCTCGGGGACAGAGCCCGCTTCTGCCTGCCTCCCAGGTAGGTGGGAGCATACCTGTAGAGCACTCATAAGATCCTTGAACATGAAATTGTCCCCTAGATAAGGCACTTAGAGCCCAGCAGACGCTGGGAGAACCTAGGAGTTGGTCCTTCCAGCAGAAAATGCCCAGAAACGTGAAGCATCTAAACTTCAGAGAATGTAACTAAGCTCCCCAGGACATGGGTCCCGTCTTCAGGTTTTTGCTTTTTGTTGTTTCTATGATTTGTTTCTGGACCTATCCATTAAATCTTTAATACCTGAGTTGCTCGTTTAGTCCGAATAATATAGCAAACCTCCAAGCTTGTAGGTTCCTCTGATGGGTCGGAGCATAAGGCACTTCTGGCTATGATCGCTTATGATTTATATTGTTCCCAGTACAGGAGGGAACATAAAATAATTATGTTGATCTGGAATCAAAGCATGGTATAATCAAAACATAGTATGGTAATGGATATTTTTATAGGTTCAACTTTTTGTTAAGATGCCAGAAATATACGACCTGAGCATAACAGGTAGCAAGGATAAATCACCCACAGTTCAGTCATACTTGTAGGACCCCAAGGTCTTTTTAGGATCAGAGAAATAAGGACATGAATGTTTTTTGTTTAACTAGAAAAATATGTATGTATATGCTCACCCTTCACTACCATGAATGTTTCTCCAGGGCGTTGAATGACACCAAGCTGGTGAGCCAAGAAGAAATCCACCTGAAAGATAGCATGGAGGACAGTATTAAGGTGCCCTCTATAGAGGAAAAGGAAGATGACGAAGCAATCGGGATAGACTTTTCCCTAAAGAATGAACCAGTAGCCATCTGTGTAGTAGCTGCTGACAAATCTCTCCTGGAGAATGCAGAGGCCAAAAAAGAATAAGCGTTTGGTGAAATTCTTAATCACCTCTTACTTGAACCGTGATGAAAAAAAGTGGGAGGGCCAGCTTGGGCTGAGAAGGGGGGGGACAGAAAAGAGAAGACAGAACAAAGCTGCTTTTTAGGACTGAACAATCTATTTTCAAAGCACTGGTACCTGTGTGAGTGAGTATGTAAATTAAAGTTATTTAAATGGTTGGAATATGTGGCTCCTTTTCCATCACTACATCTTTCCTTCCGGATCTTCATCGTGGAAGTTTCAGTTGTTGCGGAATACGAAGCACCTCCCTTGCACATGTGTGCGCTATGGTGGTCTTGGACAGTATGTGGAAACAGAAGCTCCGTGACAGTAGAAGACTTCTCTTAGGGGAACAACTTTTTGACGCACAACTTTTGGTGCGTTTTTCTAGTTTTAATACGTTAAGCTTTTTCAAGACCTAACTGCAGCCGCTTTGGGAAAAAACAAACAAAAAAACAAAAAACAAAACAAAAAAACTGCTTTGCATAAAACAGTCACCTGTTTCCTAGTACCTCAAACTTAACCAAGGGAATTCTCTGCATTTGTCAGTACTACCTGTCGTCATTGTGGTTAAATGTAGAGAGAACTGCTGGGCAAGATGGTGAATGGAGAAAAAAAAAAAAGAGTTTTAAAGAAAGGAACACAAATTGTGCTTAAAATCCCCACGTGGGTTTTATTTCTTAAAATACTGTGATTTTTTTAATTATTTTAGTAAAAAACAAAACAAAAAAAAGAAACAGACTTTAATTATTAGATAAATGTTTGTGAATTATCCTTTATTCCAGGTAAGCTGTTTATTAGTGTTCAACTATAATTTAGAATTTGGTAGATTTCATGTGAGCTAATTTTAAGGTGACTGTGGAGTTTTGTTTGCCACACGTTTATCTTCTATCAGTTTGAGTGTTACAAACACAGCACAGTTCAGTTTTTCATATAAATTGTTTTTTTTGTGTGTGTTATTGTTGTTTTGATTTGGGGGCAAGGGAGATTTAGTTTTTTGTGAATAGGAACGTTTTTATTTTAAACATGGAAATAACAAAGAACTTTTTTTTTTTTTTTTTTAATTTAACTAAAGAACCAAACTTTTCGGCACAGCTATGCAGCTTGTGGGCCAGACGAGGAAGTCCTCTTCACCCTTTTGTTGCTGTCAAATTTTACACATTATCTGTCTCACACAAATAATTTCTGTTAGGATGGGCTGGCTTTTGTGTGTGATTTTAAATCTGTGTTCTGTTTTTGTTTGCATTGTGTTTTTTGGGGGCGGGGGGATTCTCATTTATTTTGCGGGACAAGGGGATGTGCTCGAATCCCATCCCTTTGGTGAGAGTGTTCACGAAATACTTATATCCTACAAGGAGCCTGGAGAACTACTTTTTTTTTTTTTCTTTAATCTAGCTGCCAGCTGCTCTGTTTCCCCATATTAGCTTTTTCAGGAGGGAGCAGCTTAGACTAAATCTAAGTCTACATTTATAATACGTTCTGATTGTGAACAAAGGGTTTCGTTCCAAAAAGTAGAACTTTCCTTGAATCTTAGGTTTTAGAAGCCTGTGTGCGTGTGAGCTTGGATGTGTGCGTGAGCATGTGTGTGTATGTGTGTGAGTCCTTTGGTTTTCATGTTTTGTTTTGTTTTTTTTTACTTGGAAGGGTTGGGGGAGGGGGGGAGAAAGGGAAGGGGAATTGCTGAGATGACAGTGTCCCACACAGCTTCAAATAAAATCCATGGAAAGATATTGCATTTGTGGAATAAGTGCTTACTTGAAAAGCATGTTGTTCTTTTACTTTCTTGCTGTTAAGAATTTTTATTTGTAGGGCGTTTGTTTTAATTTAATTTTTTTTTTTTAGGGATGGGGGCCATCATGTGGAAACCAGAAAAAGGGAAAGTGTGATCTAGACAAAGATTCATTTTGTGTCCATATTTGTTTTTAATTGGCCTCATTTCAAATGTACTAAACAGTTCCATACCTGGATTGGGTGTTTGTAATGGTTACCAAAAAACAAACAAAAAAAAAAAAGAAAAAAAGAAAGAAAAAAAGAAAAAAAAAAGAAAATATTTGTGACATGCTTTTATCACTACTTTATTTTTCAAATAACATGTAAATATTGTAATCCATTGGATTTTGTTTTGCTAACCTGTTAATAAAAATATGGGACCATTATCCTTTTAACAAGGCTAGAATGTCATTTTTTTTTCTTTTTTCAAACATATACCTGATATTTTGTGGCCGCACATTTTGGATGCATTATTATAATTCTGTTGACTGTAATGACATAGAATTTACAACTTTTTTTGTTTAATTTATACAGAGGACATTTTTTTTCAGAGCTTGAGAGAAGAAAATAAATAGCAAAATGATAACCTATTGACTCCAATAAAATCAGTATTTCCCAGTACTTGATAAAAGATAGGGAGATCCTGAGTTCTTGAAGCCAAGGGGTTTAAAAAACAACAAAAAACACACAAGTAGGTTATTCAAAGTTGTTCGCAACATACATTTTGTAATGAAACGTGAGAAATTAATAAAGAATTTTTTTCACATGTGTCTATGCATCTGTTGTAAATCATTTACAGATATGGCTACAGATATGAAATGTAGAAATTATATAGCATTGCCTTTCAATGCATGTACATGAGAGATATTTCAAGCCATTAAATCTAAACCGTTACGAAAAGCAAAGGTAAATTTAAGGTGAGGTGTGAGCTGGGATTTTAAAATGTTAATATTTCTCCATCAGCTGTTTATAACCAACTGGGGGAATTTTATGGAGGGAATGAATGTTTTCCATCAAAAATGTTAAAGTGGTGTGTGAAGCTTCAGAAGGAGGAAATGCCAGCGACTGAACATCATCTGGGAACCCTGAACCCGTGAGCACAGTTATTTTCCTCTAACTGCGAGTCACAGCCACTGCCACCGACTATCTTACTAGGCACCCTGCCCCGGTAATTCCCATCATTAACCTGTTCTTTGAGCTGTCCTGTTACAAACCAAAGGGAAGATTAATAGTCATGAAACCTGGAAGAGGGGTAAATTAAAATCAACAGCACTGATTTTTTTTTTGTCTTTTTTTTTTAAAACATCTTTATTGGAGTATAATTGCTTTACAGTGGTGTGTTCTGCTTTGTTATCAGTTATACATACACATATGTTCCCATATCTCTTCCCTCTGGCATCTCCCTCCCTCCCACCCTCCCTATCCCACCCCTCTAGGTGGTCACAAAGCACCGAGCTGATCTCCCTGTGCTATGGGACTGCTTCCCACTAGCTAGCTATTTGACGTTTGGTAGTGTATATATGTCCATGCCACTCTCTCACTTTGTCACAGCTTACCCTTACCCCTCCCCATATCCTCAAGTCCATTCTCCACGTCTGCGTCTTATTCCTGTCCTGCCACTAGGTTCTTCGTGACATTTTTTTTTCTAGATTCCATATATATGTGTTAGCATACGGTATTTGTTTTTCTCTTTCTGACTTACTTCACTCTGTATGACAGTCTCTAGGTCCATCCACCTCACTACAAATAACTCAGTTTCGTTCCTTTTTATGGCTGAGTAATATTCCATTGTAAATGTGTGCCACATCTTCTTTATCCGCGTTCATCTGTTGATGGACACTTCGGTTGCTTCGATGTCCTGGCTACTGTAAATAGAGCTGCAGTGAACATTGTGGTACATGACTTTTTGAATTATGGTTTTCTCAGGGTATGTGCCCAGGAGTGGGATTGCTGGGTCGTATGGTAGTTCTATTTTTAGTTTTTTAAGGAACCTCCACACTGCTCTCCATAGTGGCTGTATCAGTTTACATTCCCACTAACAGTGCAAGAGGGCTCCCTTTTCTCCACACCCTCTCCAGCATTTGCTGTTTGTAGATTTTCTGATGATGCCCATTCTAACTGGTGTGAGATGATATCTCATTGTAGTTTTGATTTGCATTTCTCTAATGATTAGTGATGTTGAGCATCCTTTCATGTGTTTGTTGGCCATCTGTATATCTTCTTTGGAGAGATGTCTATTTACGTCTTCCATCCATTTTTGGATTGGGTTGTTTGTTTTTTTGATATTGAGCTACATGAGCTGCTTGTATATTTTAGAGATTACTCCTTTGTCAGTTGCTTCATTGGCAAATGTTTTCTCCCATTCTGAGGGTTGTCTTTTTGTCTTGTTTATGTTTTCCCTTGCTGTGCAAAAGCTTTGAAGCTTCATTAGGTCCCATTTGTTTATTTTTGTTTTTATTTCTATTTCTCTAGGAGGTGGGTCAAAAAGGATTTTTTTGTCTTTTAATATGATCTTTTTAGTGATGAATTCAAACTACTTTAGCTTTTTAAAATTATTTGACTAGGCAAGTATTACTGTCAGAAACTAGCTCAAATCAAAATTATCATGTAACCAGTTAAACTTATTGCATTCGAATATTCAATTTCTGCCAACCCATAATCTAATCATTTCAAAATAATTTTTTTAACATCTTTACTGGACTGTAATTACAGCACTGATTTTTAAACTCAAAGCCGATTTATACTGTCTGCCTTCACCAGTGTTAAGAATGACTTACATCCAGAGGCCATTCTAAAAATTTGATTCTCACACTTCCTTGTTTTTATCTCCTTCACAAAAGAAAGATATTAAGAGACTTACAGAGTGTATAAAACACAATTAGAGCAAACAAAATTAGGTAAATCAAGACCTAAAGGGAAAATGACTGAATAGCAAAATCATAGTAGAGAACTGGCAAAAATGCATTCCATGAGACCATGCATAAGCTACATACTTGGCTCTGAGCTTGCTGGGAGGCATGGCAAAACAACGGCTCAATCAAGAATCACATTCTTAGTAACTTTTTATTATTGAATGTTCAGGAGACATTCCACCTTTTCTAGAACTGCAGGTTAAGAAGTTTCTTCTGTGTGTTTTCCTAAAGGAAAGTGATGTAATCGACTTGTCCATTATAAAACATAGCTATTCCTCTCTCATGGCCTCCATCAAATGTTTAATGAACAGTGTTTTTATTGAGTTCATGTCTAATCCATACTCCCACTTGGTTTTATGTAGAGGAAGTAGAATATACTGATAAATTAGTCATGGTAGGCGCTGCAACAAGGCAACTCCTTAGCACCATAGAGATTTAATTCTTCCACAGATTGGCAGTGAGGGTCAGTGGGAATGCCCTTTCATCTAGTGGCTCAGGAATCCAAGCTCCTCCATCTGATGTTGCTGTCATCTTAACACATGAATCCTAGGGTCATTGCTGAGAGCTTGGAGGTGATCTACCCACTCAAATGCCTCATCCAGGAAGTAGCACACATCACTTCGAGTCTTGCTTCATGAGCTAGACCTGGTCATACAATCCCACCAACCCACAAGGGGCTGGAAAGTGTGTGGTCTTGTCTACCAATGTGCCCAGGAAGGACTCATGAGCTGGCAACCTCTACCACAACCAGGAACTTACAGAAGTGTT